TTAATAAAAATTCAAATTTGTTAACTTTTCCATCAAATTCTTTGGTTTATTAAAATAATCTAGTTATATTTAATTAAATTATTTACGGATCGGAACCAAAAATCGCACAGAAACCCGAAAATCTCGAGAAAACAACATTTTCGGTCTAAAATGGGATTACAACCGTAAACACATCTATGGTCAGTGACGAGTGGACCCCATTCTCACCCCTATAAATACGATGTCTCCGACTTCATTAGGACGTTTCTGGCCACCGTCTCTCCTCCTCTCTCTATGAATCTCGACCGTAAACACCCAAAACGCATTCAACTCCGGAAAACATTGAGAAAATCACGTTTGGAGCCCTTTGTAACGTCTGGAAACACTCAGCTCGTCGAAATCAGCATCCAAACATCATTCTTCTTAAGTTTGCGGTCCAACCTTCAAAGACCGTAAACTCTGTTCTTGAGTTTACGACTGTAAACTCGCCAAGTCTTCAAAAACCGTAAACTCGCCAAGTCTTCAGAAACCGTAAACTCTTGTTTACGGCCGTAAACACCTTTTTTGTGGTACTTTTGGTTGAAAACCCATTTCTTTGATTCAAGCAAGTCTCAGTAACATTCCTCAACCAAATTCAAGTGTTTTCTGATACTTTATTTATCGAAATCACTAATTTACATACATATACGTATTTATTTGATAATAGGATTTCGTTAAGTGTCGCGTGCAACAACTCAGGAATCTTCTTTCCAGTTAACAACCTCACGCAACAATTGTGAGTTCATACCCCTACATTTTTCCTCATTTTTAAGGTTTTCAAGGGGGGTGGAAATACAAGCTAAACATAAATGTGTTCTTATAAGCTAAACATAATGTTTTCAGGAAAATACATAAAACTTATGCAAATCTCACACTTTATTTCCCTTTTGTACTATGTCGAGCATAAGGGACGTTTTCACTCAAATTGCATAGTTTTTACGAATACGTTGTTCGCTATGCTATTCATGCAAACTATAATCGGTATAGTTTGGGGTTTTTCCAAAAAACTTATCAAGCATAGAAACTTTCTCCACTAAACATATGCACTGGAACAGAAACCGTTTACAGTTTATATCACTGTTTTATCATGATTTTCATAACTGTAACTTATCACTATACACGGGATACATTCGGATTTTCACTACGGTAGAACGCTATTGTATTACATGTAAACCAGATTGTACGATACTCTGAGGCGCTACTTCACTACTGTACCCTTAGGTATATAGGGATAAATCCTACCACTGTATAACTAGAGTCTCCTGGAGGGAGATTGTGAGGTTTGTGAATAGATATATTCGGGACTGACAATCCCACATTTTGACTGCTAGCTACAGTTAGGCGGACACGCCTGAGATGTACAAATGTCATTTAACATCAACGTCTGAAGAACGTTGGAAAGGTCACTAGTCATATCAAGCACGGTTATACGACTCACATTATGTACAAATCACCGATAGTTTACCAACCTGGTTTTCTTCGGTAGTTTTATTTATACTAAATAGAACTAAACACACTATGCATACTGGCCGAGCCAGGGTTTTCAAAACCGGATCATTTTTGCTAAGGTTTTTCATATTAAATACTTATACTTCATGTTTAGCTTTAGCTAGCCACATGAGGTAGTATTTTCGCATATCACTACGGTTTTTCAGAAACGAACTTTCATGGTTGTATACGAAATCGATAACACTACGTTTTTTACTAAGGAAAATATCGGATTTTCTTGAAATTACACAATCATTTCGGCTCGCTCATCAATAAGTTTTCATTACAAATTACTGCTTATGAACTCACCAGCTTTATGCTGATATTTTTCAAACTGCTTGTATTCTCAGGAAATCAGTAGACAGGTACTCACTGGATTTTTCGAGGAACCGAAGCATTTAAAGTTTTTAAGTTTTTATTTTGCAAAACTAATGAATGTAATTCAAACCGAGTTTCAAACAGATGTAAACGTTTTCATTCGAATATTCACTGTAATGGTTGTGCTGCTATGATTGTTGTTATTTATTGGTTGTGATGCTATACATGACGTCCTCTGCCCCGGAATATTTTCGTCAATGGTTTCGGGGTGTGATAGTATCGTCTTAGCCACTTGTAGAGGTAGTAATGGTCAATCTTGATTGGATTCGGGTTTAATAATTTGGTTGAAAATTTCAACCCAGCCCAACCTGTTTATTTAAATGAGTTTATATTTCCAATCCAACTTAACATTTTAGATAAATAGATTATCATCGGGTTGACCTGTTTATGTAGTTCCCAACCCAACTTATTAAATAGGGTTTAGGTCATTTTTGGTCACTTAACTTTTGGTTTTGTGCTCATTTGGTCACTTAACTCTTTTTAAGTTTTAAAAGGTCATCAAACTTTTGTCTTTATGCTCATTTAGTCACTTAGCTTTTGGTTTGGTCACATTTAGTAACCTAACATTTAAAATTGTGCTAATTTCACTTACTTTTATTTTTTTTAAAAGTTTGGTGACTAAATGAGAAAAGTTTTAAAAGTTAGGTGACCAAATGAGTACAAATCTAAGTTAAGTGACTAAATGTGACCAAACCAAAAGTTAAGTGACTAAATGAGCACAAAGTCAAAAGTTTGATGACCTTTTAAAACTTAAAAATAATTAAGTGACCAAATAAGCACAAAACTAAAAGTTAAGTGACCAAAAATAACCTAAACCCTATTAAATAAATGGGTTAAACTTCAATTAACCCATTTAAAATCAATTAAATCAACAATATAATTAAATATTATATCACTTAAATTATAAAACGTAAATAAAACTTCATAATTGTGACAAAAGAACAATGTCAATCCATAAATACAAATAAATTGTTCAAATAACATTAAAATATTTAGTTTCACCGTGATTTTGGAGAGTGATCAATATTATCGGCGCTAAAAAGGATAGAAATTCGGATTGAATTTTATTAAACATAGATAATAATAATGCAACATTATAATTTACAAATTAATACTTTGATTAATACATGATAATATTCAAATAATGTTAAATTAAATATATTTTAAAGTTAAATGAGTTGACAGGTTGATAACTTTTACCCAACCTAACTTGTTTAATTAAATGGGTTAGACAGATTGACCCATTTAAGTTAAATGGGTTGAAAATCTCAACCTAACCCGCTAATTTTGGGTTGGGTTCGGGTTGGGTTAGAGATGTCAACGGGACCAAACGGGAGCGGAAATAGCTGCCCACGCTCCCGCCCCCGAAATCAGTTGGTGCCCCCGCTCCCGGTCCCGCCCCCAGCTCCCCCGTTTACATAGTCCCCGGTTACCTCCATCGCTCCCGGTCCTGCCACGTTCCCCCGGTTTATAGGCTTAAAATTCTATTTTTTTGCTAAGCAACTCCTTTGGTTTAGGCTAAAAAGACTATTTTTAACAAATTTAAAAGCTTAAAACCTAATCTTTTAGAAACTAAAAATTAAAAATTCAACATTACGAATCCAACATTACAAAATGACAATTCTAACAGTCTTATAAATATAAAATACGACAAATCTAATATTACAAATATAAAATACTTACATGTCCAAAATTATATGATCAATTCACTACCTCTTCAATATCCATTAATTGGAAATGAGAAAGTAAAACCTAACCTAAACTTAAAATAAAAAAAAAATCTATTTTGTATATGTATTTTATATTAAATATATATTTTTTACATAAATGTACAACTGGGGCCCCCGCGGGAGTACGGGACGGAAATACCAACTCCCGACCCTGATCCCGAAAATAAGCGGGGTTTAATTTTGCCCCCGCCCCCGATTTTTTTTTTTTTAAATTTAGTCTCGTACGGGACCGGAGTCCCACGGAGGTTTTTGATATCCCTAGGTTGGATCGATTTTTGTTGGCTCTAACCACTTGGATGCAACTATTTAAAATTTTTGTTGGAGAAATATAATAGAGCTCTTCGCAAAGTTTGAGAAAAAAGAATAAAAAGACTTTCTTTTATAGCCTATTGACCTATTCTCTTTGAAATTAATACACCACAAAAGCCATCATTGAGAAAACAGAATAAAAAGTCTTTCTCGGAGAATCTGATTCTATATCAATGCACCAAACACATTGAAATGAATATTCATTTTGTTCGGGAAAAAGTAGCTTGTTGTGAAGTTCATATCATGCATACTCCATCCCACTATCAGCTCACCCGGTGAGTTCACCAAAGGACTCGCAAGACTTCTAAATCTTTTTCGAAACAATCTCAACATTCCTCCACCTTCCGCTTCGATAGATATTTTCATATAATTTTATGTATTTTACTTAACTAGTAAATTTAGATAGATATTTACTTACAATAGATAAATAAGGATACTCTTGTATAGGGACATGACAATCAACTGAAAAACCGAATCTTTGTCCTAATTGGAATCGCGTCCTAATTGGAATCGCATAGGGTAACCGGTTTGGTTTTTGGTACCTTGAATTTTTCATTTTCTATTTTGGTTTTTTCGGTTTTGGGTCCGGTTCTTAAACCGATCTTATCCCTACTCTTGTAGATATGTTGACATGTTGGGAATGAAATAATCATGGTGGTTTCTGTTTAAAACTCGCCCCTATATACATGCATTATATACATAATATAATGCCATATAAAAATTTCTAACATAACAAATTAGTATATAGCCATATTAAAACTTTTAAACATCCAATATAATTTCATCAATGGATCTTCAAGGCAGTAAATTTTTTGAACAACAAGAAAATATACATAAGTACAAGAATCTAACTTGGTATTAAACTATTAATTTGACTAATAAGTTCCACATTCTAGCATACAACTTCCTTCCTATCGGGTATACGAACAAGCATTCTTTCATTTCATCACTTATTTCGCATTCTAAAAGGAATTTAAATTTATGTAACCATAAAATTCAATCAAAATTTCGCAATATATAATAGATTAAAATCACCAAACCACCAAGAACACTAGTCGTACCAGTAAAAAAGAAGCTTCAAACTCTTACTGGCTTCTGAAGAACAGCAGATAAGTAAACCTCTGAATTCCCTGAACCATTGATCTTCTCTCCCACAACCCATTTCAGTTTCTTATACCCAAATCTTTCAATCAATCGGGTCAAATTCTTTCTCTTTTCATCATTAGAACAGAGAAAATTATCCAACCAAAACAACCCACCACCCCTAATGATCCGATCAATGTCAAACATCAAGAACTCGAGCTTTTCAGATCGTCCACCAATGTCTAAACCATTTCCGACATGAATCAAGTCAAAAACGTTTTCGTAAAATGGGAATCTGTGGTCTAAACTTAGATACAGAGGAAAAATTCCTCTTGCAGCTATGAATTCGTTGAAAGGGGCATCGATGTTGAGAGTTGCAGTGACGACTGTGACGTTTTTCTCCGCCATTCTAGCGGCAAAAGTACCAGATCCACCGCCGATATCAAATCCGATTCTAATTCCACCGCTTCCTAAAGCTAAAACATCGTCAATCAAGAAATCGTTTTTACCTCTTGATTTTACAAATCTTTGATTCTCATTTCCATTAGCGAGATCAAAACATCCAGCACAATCGCGATTTAGTTTCTTACTGTTTAAACAGATGAGATTCTTGCAACCTAAGCCACTCCAACTGTAAATCTTTTCGCTAACATTTCGCCAAAGTGAAAGTGGAAAAGGGTGAAGACCAACCTTGGGGATTGTTTTCGCGAAGCATCTTCTTCGAGGTAAAGGCTCGCATCCTTTCAAAATAAGCTTCTGAGAAAGACTCCAATCATCAGGGCAAGCTCCATTGGGTTTGTAATTCATGTATTGCGACAAAAAATCCATGGATTTGTAACACGAATGTCCCACAGATGCCACCATTTCTGTGATCCCAGTTCTTGAATCTTTACCTAATGGAAGCTGATTCCTTTGTAGAAACAATTTCAACTCGTTCGGCATATTGGGTGTTGAAAGATCAATGCTTTCGTATCCAAGAAGCTGTTTTTCCATCTGGGCAAGTTTCTTTTGGGAAGAATCGATCTCTCTGAGGATTAAGGAAACTTGTTCGGAGATTAAAGAGATGTTCTTGTGGGTATGATGGTGACTAAGGAAGTGAATCTGGTGATGGGGTTTTGGGGAGTATGTGAAGGCGTATAAGGCAAACAGATTTGTGGTTAAGACTGAAAATAACATGAGAATATGTACAGCCGACGAACAGACGGTGGCGCTCTTGAATCTTGCTGTTCCATCGCCGATTTTGAGCGATACAGAGCCCATTTTTTGGTCGGAGTTTCAAGATTCGGGAAGAGGGGAAGAAGAAGAAGATGCGGAGTTTGTGTAGATTTGTGAGAGTGAGTGAGGGAGCAGGTGAGGAGAAAAAGGTAAAGAAGACATTTAGCTGAATTAATTAAGGACAAGTAGAGAGGAGAGATCTTGTGAAATGTCGGTTGAATTTTTAATACTAGATGTCTTCACACTTCACTCTTCACTCGTTCTCTCTTGGATGCTTTTGTAAATAAGGGAATTTTTCGTTACTAATTGAAGTTAAATAAAAGGAAATTTGAGGAAAAATAAAGATGATAAGAAAGTTTAAAGCAATTTGAAGAAATTAATTTTTTTTTTTTGTGTGCGTGAATCATACATTTTGAAGCGGAGTATTCCATCTCAACGTATTTTATATAGTGTAACACGAATTTTCGATTTTGTTTACGTTTAGTCACAAAACTTTTTTTTTTTTTTTTTATATAGTGGCATATTCCATCTCAGCGTATTTTATATATGAATGATAATGAGAACTTTCGATTTTGTTTACATTTAGTCACTAAATTTTTTTTCGTTATCTATTTGTCACTGAGCTATTAAAACTGTTCAAATTTTACCCTTATGACCGGTTGTTACAGGTCATAAGGGTAAAATGTGAACTGTTTACATAGTTCAGTGGCAAATAGATAATGAAAAAAAAAATTTGTGACTAGATGTGAACAAAATCGAAAGTTTGTTTCCCTCTAAAAAAAATTCAATGTTTAAATGTGAACAAACTTACTCTTCTATTCTGCTTTAGCAAATTATTTATTTTTATTAAATTCTAACAACATTTGTTGATAAAGAAATCTATGAAATTAAAAAAAAATCCCAAAAAATATATTAAAAAAACAAAAAACCAAAAAACCAAAACTAAAATAAAAAACCAATGTCTCTCTCTCTTTCTTTCTCTCTCTCTTTCTCTCTCTCTCTCTCTATATATATATATATATATATATATATATATATATATATATATATATATATATATATATATATATATATCATGTTACCATGCTACTTTACCACATGCAAGTGGATCTATAAAAGTCAAACTATGTACAAAGTCATACATGAATAACTTTATACTCAACATTCTCCCACTCGACGTTAGGAATAGATGATCCGCTTCAAATCTTCCAAACTCGAGCAACTTCACTAACCGAACCTCAAATGTGACACATATAGAGATGAACATCAAATCTTCAATTCTTCCATGACTTTTCAATCTGGGTTCTAGAATATGAGACCATACAAACCGAGCATCAAAAGGTAATTAGGAGCTTCTCATTCTCCAAAAAAATTACCCAAATTTGAGCATTTATGCACACTCCAAATATATTCAATAAGTCCAAACTCATCATGAACCGAAATCACTTCTGAATCTCCAATCGAATCATTTCAAAAACTTCAAATACTCGAGGTCACTTCGGTCTTCAAGTCTGCAAAATATGAAAAAATCAACTTTCGAATTTCCATATTTAAATCTCTCCCACTTTTAATAACCGAAAAATGATTATAAAACCAAAAAGGGAATGAGAAAACGCTTAATTCGGAATTTTTCTATCCAAAACTCTCCCTTAACATATTGCATAAACATTTTGCTTTAATCCGGAAAATCCAAAGAATATTCAGTTTTTAGCTTCGTTCACAAACATTGGTTTTTTTTTTCGGTTTAGGTTTTTCGTTTTTTTTAAATATATTTTTCTGGGTTTTTTTTTCATAAATTTCTTCATCAACAAATGTTGCTAGAATTTAACAAAAATAAATAATTTGCTAAAACATAATACAAGAGGAAGTTTGTTCACATTTAGTCATTGAATTTTGTTAGAGGGAAACAAACTTTCAATTTTATTCACATTTAGTCACTAAACTTTTTTATTATCCCTTCTCTTTGATGCTTTTGTAAATAAGGGATTTTTCGTTACTAATTGAAGTTAAATAAAAGGAAATTTGAGGAAAAATAAAGATGATAAGAAAGTTTAAAGCAATTCGAAGAAATTAATTTTTTTATGTGTGTGAAGGACCGTCTATTTAGGAATGATACATTTTGAAGTGGAGTATTCCATCTCAGCGTATTTTATATAGTGTTTCATACTGAATACTCGCTACATATAATATTTCAGTATATACGTCGAAATAAATATCTTCATATTTCCGACAAAGTTTACAAAAAGATAAATTACATCCAATTGTGATGAGTTTGGGTTTTTAGTAGTTAACTCTTCATTCTTTTACTTGTATTTGTTACATTTATTATTTTAACTAGAAAATTTTAGTTTGCAACAGAAAATGTTCGGAATGTAAATAAGAGTTCCAGAATGTCATATTAATTCATAAGAGGTGCCTTACCTAGGTAGTTACTTTTTTCTTGGTAACGATCCAAAATATTAGATAAGTACTTAGGTTAAGAATATTATGTCTCATCCAGATACACTTCAAATTCTTCTGTGTCTTTTTGAGAATGTAGCATGTGATTCCTAATGGAAGCATAATCGTTGAGAAATCATGTGTTCGGGGACTTTACAACCTATGAGTGCGTCAACGATAAAAAAGAAAAAGTTTTGAAGATGATCGAGACAATATAAATAAGAACAAGGATTTGTTTTGACTTTAATTATACAAATGAGAACTTTTGAATTTCAGAATTAATCCATGTCCGATTGAGCTTACAAAAGCCACATCATCCAGTGGTAACACACAAAAAAGTGTTACATGCTAAATGACATTTATGCAAAAAAAAAAAAAAAGGCAAATCTTTTACACCATTACAAATTATTTTTTACTTATTATTATTGTTTTTTTTTGCTACATACTTACACACAAACTTAAAATACAATGTAAATATTTAATACTGCGATGAAAATGAAATGATTTTTTTTTGGTAAATAATGAAGTAGTAAATATTATTGATTGACAAAGTTAACACTTTCACTATAACCTGGGAACAAAATCAGACTATATTCGGCTTAACTCACCCTAGTTAATTTGTGGTAAATAGCAAAGTAGTGAAGTTTAGTGTTCATGGCATTGTCTAGCTCGATGTTGTGATGCTCATGGGAAACCATAAATGATTTATTTTCAAGAAAAGAAAAGGCGGCTCAAGGAGAATGATGGAGAATGTGTAGTTATTGTTGATATATGTATTTTATTTACTTCTTTTTATAGTTTATTTAAGTATATTTTATTTTATTTTTTGTTAATTATCATGCATATTTCTCCGTTTTGTTATTTTTATCTATATTAGGCACTTTTCTAGTCTTTTCTGTTTTATTGTAGATTTTTAGAAGATTTGCGCGAAGCGGTGAAGAATCGAAGGACAAACAGTGACATTTACTGGATTGCCAGAAATGAAGTGGTCATCAAGATTTGTAAATTTGGTTTGTTGGAGCAAGTTGGGATAAGAGGAAAAGATGGTGAAACAAGATGACGGAAATTTGTCTAGTTTATGGGATTGGAAATTAATGAAGATTTAAACAACATGGGCTATAGAGTGGATGCAGAAGGAATTTGGGCTTAATATTAATCTAGAAGCTGTTTTGGGCCACAAATCCAGTCCTTGAAGATGATAGAGAGTTGGACGCAAAAGACAAGTAAGATACTGCATGAAAGGGATTTGTGCATGCAAATCAAATATGGCAGCTACTCTGTAACGCCCAGATCGCATGTGAACTCCTTTAAAACTAGATTGTATTTATTTTTTCATGAGTGACCACTACGTTGGGCATAATTAAGGGTACGTGGGGCGTACCTCATCGAGACGTGGACACATGGTTTCTCTCTAGCACGCTAGGCGTACCTAGAGTACGCTTGGGGTACTCATGGCAGTTGGAAACCCTAAATTTTGGGTTTGGAGCCTATATAAACACCTTATGTTCCCTTGTGACCTCTTCATGCTCAACCTCCTTTCACCCCAAAGCTATTATTCGAAACCCTAGCCCCCATTAGTGGAAGTTTGTGACCTTTGATTGTTTTTGTGGGTTTTTGGTTCTCTTAGAAGAAGAAGAAGAAGTCCACCATTGAAGCTTGGAGAAGCTCAAGCTCCTAGATCCAAACATTTCATCATCCTTGCAAGCTTCTGAAAGTATAAAGCTTGTACCTTTATTTTCCTTTTCCTATATCTAGAGTTGGTCCATGGTATGTTATGCTTTTGGTCCCTAGATTTGGACTTTGGAGGAATGGATTACTCTAAACGTCATGAGTGTCATTTCTAGTCATTTTTTAGTTGATGAAGTCATAAAAATGGGAGGTTGGACACTCCCATTTATCTATGAATTAATTTCAGACATTAGAGTGTACTTATGACTTAGGGTTTGGATTTGTGCCTTATTTAGCCATGAAAAGGCATTAAGTTGTTGACTTTATCAGTTAACACATCCCTTAGGTTGAGATCTCTGAGTTGGATGAAAGGTCTTAAAGCATTAAGGTCTTAATATTGAGTTTTGGTGATCTGACGACTATGTTGGGCGCACCCTCCTGGTACGCACGGTGTAATGGGCTGAGGCCCTGTTCCCTTTCGGAAGAGATCCAGTACGTTGGGCGTACACATCGCGTATGCACAATGTACTCACCTGAAGCCCATTGGGGCCATTTTGGGATTTGGGCTAGTTTGGGCCTTGGGTCATAGTTTGTTAGGCCTAGAGTAAGAAGGGTAAAAGGGTCTTTTCCCCTTTGAGAGATAGTTTATGATTTGGGATTTTATTTTTGGGTTTAAGGTTGGTTTGAATGTGTTCATTGTGACGAGCCCCCGTAGCAACAACTTGTGTGTGACTGTTGACTGAGGTGAGTCTTCTCATAGTGTTTGGTGGGTTAAAGGTGCTAATTTTGGCCCATTGATTTTTTGCTTATATGATGTTAGTTGTTTGTGTGACTCTTGCATGTATTGTATGTGTTTGTATGTATAACGGTCAGGGCTCGATGTCGGGCAGGGCCTGATGGATGTCGAGGGAGGCCCATTGCATGTATGGTATGTAGTA